CTTTTCCGGCGGGTGCCTTACCTCCCTTGAGCTGGGCCAGCTGGTGGTCGGCCTGCTCCGTCTCTGCCGCTTGCCAGCTACGCCTCGGCCGGCACAGGGGGCGGAACCACGCATGCGTGGCGCTCCCGGGCAGGGAAAGTCCTCGACTTACGACCGGTTGGGTAGTCCTCGACTTACGACCGGTTTAGTCCTCGACTTATGACCGGTTTAGTCCTCGACTTACGACCGGTTGGGGGTCACGGCATTAAAAAGGTTGAGAACCACTGATGTAAATTGAACGGGCAAGGTTACCAAGATGTACATCTGCTTGTCAGAAAAAATCCTTAAAAATCCTGTCTGTTTGAACAGTCGATGTCTAAGTTAAGGAATAACGTGGTAGTTTTGTAATACTTCCCTCTTTTTTTTCCCCCTTTTAAACTTAAGGGTTTGGGTCTTTTGATTAATCTGGTTGAATATAGCGCAAGAAACAGACATTGCCTCGTGAATATGGAAACCTCGTGTTCCTTCGATTCCTTCTGCTTGGGAGACGCCGAGGAGAGCTTAAGCACAACTGGACAAATAGCAGCTGTTCAGGCTTTAGTACAGGTGAATCCATCTTTTTTGCATCCAAAATAAGGGGAGCTTGGTGATAATTCAGGGGGGTTATTGAAATCTGCCTGTCAATAGAGGAGACAGGCAGGATTAATTCTTCTCCTTTACTTTCTTTTTGTATCTCACTTGCCTGGGAATCTTTGGTGCCTGAAGTCCATCCCCAGGGGTTCCTGGTGACTAAATAGAAGTCATATAGAGCTACATGGGAAAGCAGTAAAGCATTTTTGGGAACATTGATAATTGACCCAACCCCCATTAGTTGGTGCAGTTAGGGCAGTGTTTCTCAACCTTGGCCACTTGAAGACGTCTGGACTTCAACTCCCAGAATTCCCCAGCAAGCCCTGCTGGCTGGGGAATTCTGGGAGTTGAAGTCCAGACGTCTTCAAGTGGCCAAGGTTGAGAAGCACTGAGTTAGGGGCTATTGGTTGGGTTCTGATTCTCATTGAATGTTTTTTTTTTGTCGCGCAATCTGAGGTGCCCAGAGCCATTTTGGACTGAGTGGGATGCAAGCTATAGCAAATAAGTAAAAAAAGAAAAAGAAAAATTGCATATCCTCCTCAAGAGTTGATATTCAGCCACCTCTTGCATGTAGATTTTATGGGCGTACCCCTCCCCCTCTCAGGCCCAACACAAAGGTTCTTTTCATTAAAAAAAGAAACGATGATAAATCTACTCCAAAGTAAAATGTCAGCCTTTACGTTCACTTTATTGACAAGCCTACCTTAAGACTCACAACGGGCCACATAAATGTTCTTAAAAATAAGAATTGTGGAGAGCTGGAGGATGGCTCATATACCCCCCTCCCCCCCGTGCAGAAATAAAAGCTGGGATAAGATAAGATAAGATAACCTTTATTTATTTATTTATTATTTATTTATTTATTAAATTTATATACCGCCCTATCTCCCTTGCGGGACTCAGGGCGGTGAACAGGCGATACTAAAAACCACGATAATAAATAAATAGTTTCTGTTCTAAAATCGAATTAAATAACAGGCCTGTTCTAAAAACACACCCATACAAAAACCCCCACTGAAACATAATCAAACTACGCCAGGCCGGCCGCACGGAATAGATGGGCCTTCAGGGCTCGGCGAAAAAGGCGCAGGTNTAAATAACAGGCCTGTTCTAAAAACACACCCATACAAAAACCCCCACTGAAACATAATCAAACTACGCCAGGCCGGCCGCACGGAATAGATGGGCCTTCAGGGCTCGGCGAAAAAGGCGCAGGTCCGCAACTGTACGTAGGTCGGGGGGTAGGTCATTCCAGAGGGCAGGAGCTGCCACAGAGAAGGCTCTCCCCCTGGAGGTCACCAGCCGGCATTGTCTGCCCGACGGCACTCTAAGGAGGCCCTCTCTGTGGGAGCGGACTGGCCGAAGGGAAGTGTTTGGTAGGTGTCATTTTTTTGCTGTGGGCACAATAAAATGAAATTTAGTTGTCCGCTCTCGAAGTGAAACACACACATGACATGCACCTAAAACATACTATGTACAACATATGTATAGACCCACACCCCTACATATACATAACAAATAAATATTAAATCTTCTCCTGGGGGAGGGAAAAGCCTTGCCTTCTGGGAGGAGCTGACTCTTCTGTGGGAAGCTCCCTTTTGGGATCCTGGGCTGCTGCTCCCTCTTCCTTTTGCCGATCTCAGCCAAATAGTGCTGGTTGAGAGGCAGGAAGGCCGTGAGCCAATTCGAGGGCACAAGCCTGAAGGTGAAGAACATGTATAACCTGCTTTGCTGGCGTAGCACCGAAGGGAAAAGGAGGAGGAGGGGGAGAGAGGAGAGGAGATGAAACAGGCCGGGAGCCAATTTACAACTTCTGTGGCAGCCATCCATGCCGGGCACACACACAGGTGGCAGCGACAAACAGGCAAGAAATGCAGCGGGGGAGGGGTCGCCCTCCACAGGAATGAATGAAGAAAGGCAGCATCGGCTGGAGGTGAGGATGGCAATGAGAAAGGGGGAGGTAGAAAGCAGGAGGGAAACGGAAAGGAAGGAAGTGTTGGAAGAAAACCTGGGGGGGTTGCTTTCCAGCCGGGAGGCTATACCTTTCAGAGAAAAATAGGCGAGAGGAAGCCAGCTGCTCCAACTGCTCAAGAGGAGATGTTTATTGGCAGAAGTGAAATGCAGTTTCAGCATAAGGTTCTGGGTCAGCTAAACAACAAACGGGGAGAGTGGAAGGATTCTTATGTGATTTTTTGACTTTAAAAGTTCTGGGATTTGTGCAATGTGGGCTTTGTGTTCTTAAGGAGTGTTTGGCAATCTCTATTGTGGCTGATGGCCCATGTTGGATTTTGGGTTCTAATTCTATTGCTCTGCTATTGTTAGCTATAAGTTTTGCTGCAAGGGATTTTGAAGTATTGTTGTCCTGAATGGATTTTGCCCGGAGCATTTGTTTACTTATGAATGGGGCCATTTGGGGAGGCTGCCTTAACTGGCAGCCAGTACTTGCTACATTTGTTGTTTTTTTTAAGTGCCTGCTGCAGGCTCCTTAACTTTCCTTTCTAGCCAGTAGCTAATTCTTAAAGGGGAATGCACCTTTTTAAGCTAGTTCCCTCAGCGGCTTGTCTTTTCTGTCTCTGGAGGCTTTTCCTTGTTTAATAAATATATGGAAGAGGGAAAATATGGGGGGGGGGGTTTCAAATTCTTCCTTCAGAAGGAAGGAGATGGGAATGAGAAAGAGGGAGGGAGGGAAACAGGAAGGGAGAGAGGAGGGAGGGAGATTGGAATGAAAGGGAGGGAGGGTCTGAAGGAAGTCCCGCCTTAGCACTTGGCCACCAGCAGCCCAGCCATTGACTTTGCTTGTCAGAAAGGGATCACATGACCCTGGGACACTGTGACTAGAAATACGAATCAATTGCCAAGCATCCAAATATAAATCACATGGCCTTGGGCATGCTGCAACGGTCATAAGTGTGAAAAATGTCACTTCAGTGCCATTGTAACTTTGAACAGTCACTAAGCGAATTGTTGTATGTCGAGGATTACCTGTACTTTATCCCTTTTTTTCCTTTTTGGGGGGGGTTCATCAAGTTTTTGACACCTTGCTAGGTGGTACTCGAATATTGCCATATCCTAAAAGTGGTACAATTGGTGAAAAGGTTGAAAAGCCCTGAATCTTTGCAAATTGATCCAGAATCAACAGAATGGAAACCTGGAGTGATTTGGTTGTCCTGCCTTTTAGAGGAAGCAAATCTGGACAGGATAAGTAGCTTAAGTCAGGGGTCCCCAACCTGCCAGCATGCCACAAACCAGTCCGTGCAAACAAGCAAAGCCCCATCCGCAGGATGCAGGCAAGTACACAAAAACCACACACCCTCCGATCTGCAGAAAAATCTCTCTCCACGGAACCAGTCCCTGGTGCCCCAAAGGTTGAGGACCTCTGGCTTAAGGCATCTTCCCTGACCCTAGCCCTACTCTCCTTGGCCTGGCTTGACACAACAGCACTGATGGTCAACTGTGGGATGCTAAGTTTCAACCCCATCAGGGTATTGTGTTTGCACAGACTTTCTGCACTAAGAACTGAAGTTAACCCATGGTGCTGAATCCCAAATCTGTTAACCTGATGCCTGAATTATAGTGTGTCGTGAGATGTTGAGTAAAAAGGGGAGCCGCAATGAAGAGGGTGGCTGAGACATTGGGCAGTGCTGGTGAGTTAAAGTGGTACGGCCGATTTTCCCAACCCAACCGTGTTTGTTTTGGTCTCTCAGTTGTTCCTGGAGAGAGAGAGAGCAGCACAGCTGGCTGAGAGTCAGACCGACGAACTGATTAAAGAGGCCCCCACTGCACAGCACGACCAGAGTGGGGAGTGGCAGGAGACCAGTGGGGAGATCCAGTGGGTCTCCACAGAAAAGCCAGACAACGCTGAGGAGAAAGAGAAGAAAGAAGAAGAAGAAGAGGAGCTGGATCTTAATAAAGGTGGGTGGCAGTGGCTGGACAAGAGGGCCTAGGCCAGGGGTAGGCAACCTTGGCTCAATAATGATGATGATGATGATAGTAATAGTAATAGTAAAGTTGTAAGGGACCTTGGAGATCATCTAGTCCATCCCCCTGCTCAGGCAGGAAACCCTATACCATTTCGGACAAATGGCTGTCAAGTCTCTTCTTAAAAACTTCCAGTGTTGGAGCATTCACCGCTTCTGGAGGCAGGTTGTTCCACTGGTTAATTGTTCTAACACTCAGGAAGTTTCTCCTTAGTTCCAGGTTGCTTCTCTCCTTGATTAGTTTCCACCCGTTGCTTCTCGTCCTGCCTTCAGGTGCTTTGGAGAATAGCTTGACTCCCTCTTCTTTGGGGCAGCCCCTGAGATATTGGAACCCTGCTATCCTGTCCCCCCTCGGCCTTCTCTTCATTAAACTAGACATTCCCAATTCCAGCAGCCGTTCCTTATATGCTTTAGCCTCCAGTCCCCTATGACTCATGGACTTCAACTCCCAGAATTCCTGAGCCAGCATGGCTCAGCTTGGAAACCTCTCCCTTTCCCCTCAGCATGGCTGGCTCAGGAATTCTGGGAGTTGAAGTCCACGAGTCATAAAAGAGCCGAGGTTGCCGACCCTTGGCCTAGGCGCTTAAAGAAGCCAGGATAATGTGCAATTGTTGAACGCCCTGGCTATTTTCTCATTTTTAAAATCTCTTCGCTTAAGGTGTCAGCTAGGTCAGGGGTCCCCAACCCCCGGTCCGTGGACCAGTCGGCGGCATGCCAGCAACCGGTCCGCACAAACAAGCAAAGCCCCATCCACGGGATGCAGGCATCATGCAAAAACAGCCCCCCCCCCCCTCCGGTCTGTGGAAAAATCTCTGTCCACGGAACCGGTCCCTGGTGCCCCCAAAAGTTGTGGACCTCTGAGCTACGTCCTTTGCTGTCTCTTTCCTGGAAATCCTTGCTTCTGACACTACTGGAAAGAGTCTGGTGGCCCCTTTTTCTGTCTTAACAAATTTTATTACGAGGTACAAGCCTTTGTCAGCCGTGCTAATTTTATTAGTTGGAAGAGGGGCTACCAGACCCCTTTAGGCTGTTTGCTCCCGTTGACTGACGGAGCTCTCCTCCAGCTGCGACACGGTGTCCTGTTGGATAAAAGTAAGCTTCATCTTGCCTGTTTGTATCCACTATCCTGGCCTGTTTTTAAGTTCTATTTCTTTTCCTTCTCTCGCTCCTTCATACCAGTTTTTGCAAGATTTTTCCCTACCTTTTCCAACGTCCTCTCACGCCTAACTCCAAATAATTCGAAGGGTGTGGTTTTTCTGAGCACCGGATGTGTTCGTTTGAACCTTATAATTTAGACTGGACTAATGGTTGTCCTTTGGGTCAAGACTGTGTTTGGGTAAACCAGGAGTTTAGCCAGTGAGTTCAGAGTCGAGCTGATGGGGTAGAAACCGTGCTTTTGTTACTCTTAGGGATTGCTCAGTATTTCTCTGCGGTGGGGCGGGGGAACCAGGAAAGTTGTGTAGCATTCAAAACGAGCGTACTGGTATAAAACTTTTCTTGTTTATTTACAGCCCTTCAACATGCCGGAAAGCACATGGAAGACTGCATTGTGGCCTCTTACACAGCACTGCTGCTAGGCTGCCTCTGCCAGGAGAGTCCAGTAAGGAACTTCACCACTGCATAACCTTTAAATGGCTGGAAAGAGTGGGTTTGCTTGAAGCAGGGAAGTGGGTCTGAAACAGGGCTGGGATTCCATTGTTGTTGTTAGTTGCGAAGCCATGTCCGACCCATCGCGACCCCATGGACAACGTTCCTCCATGCCTTCCTGTCCTCTCTCATCTTCTGGAGTCCATTGAAGCTCACACCTCCTGCTTCAGTGACTCCATCCAGACACCTCATTCTCTGTCGTCCCCTTCTTCTCTTGCCCTCCATCTTTCCCAGCATTAGGCTCTTCTCCAGTGAGTCCTTCCTTCTCATTAGGTGGCCAAAGTACTTGAGTTTCAACTTCAGGATCTGGCCTTCTAAAGAGCAGTCGGGGTTGATCTCCTCTAGGACTGACCGGTTGGATCGCCTTGCAGTCCAGGGGACTCCACAGGTGTAGAGAAAAGCTACCCAAAGTGTGTTTCTCTCCAAGGCTGGTGGTGGTGGTTGTGTTTTTCCTGCAACACAAATACAGTGCTCTCCAATGAATTAATACTAAGGCCATTCATCAGACAGTCGGTGTGCTTTTTAATCTAATGTTTGGTAGGCTATAGTCTAATAGCACTTCTAAAGTGTTTGCAAAACACACTTAAGGCCTGCCTTGTGTTCTGTATTGTTTGCTCTGGCTGCTGGAAGCTGCTCCCCAAGCTAATTTCCCATCCTAG